TGCAGAAGATACTAGAAAAGAACTAATGTCATCTGAGTCCCGACTCAATGATTTATTCATGAGTGAAACTCTACGAGTAGAGAATATTACTGGCTGCAAAGCTTATACTAATAAAGTAGGAAATGTCAAAATAGCTCTCTTAAATAAACCTTTTGTGATCGGTATTGTAAGACATCACATGCAGGAACCTACAATAAAGTTGTTCCTGTAGGGCTGCTGTCTCATTCAGTATGCAATTCCATACACTGCCAACTGAAAAGAAGCCATTGAGTCATTTAATTTCTCTTCATTGTCAAATATGTGTTTCAGATCTCATTTAGAACACATGGTTCTGATCTTTCTCTGAAAACAGAATGAATAAATTATTTATGGGCTACTTTGTGGAACTTACTATGGTGGTACTTCACTGATGTAATAAAACTATTTTTCACTTTGAAACATCCTGATTAGGTGAGAAGCTGGAATTATTCGTATTTTCCAGATAGAAAATTGAATTACAAAGAGTAATCCCAAGTTATGAATAATTTGGGGGGATTCAATTTCAGAAATGTAGTGTCTGATTCTTCAGAGTAATTACCACAGTGAAAATTACATTCAGACTAGAGAAATATGGAAGCCATCCAACAGGAAATCCTGATTTCTGGGGATTCTTTCTTCCAAAATGGAACATAACCTTGAAGGTCCTTTTAGAAGGAGTAAGTACTAAGAAGTACTAAGACTCAGGACATTCCTGATGCTGCTCTGTACTATCAGTGTAGGATATCAGTACTGATCTGAGAGAAGGGAAAAATTCTTTGAGCTAGGCTTGGAATGACAAGAATCCCTCTCCAGTTAAATGTCTGCAAAGAGAAGAGCCTAAAACAAGAGGATTTCTGGGAGATGAGGAGTCACAAGGCTGGCATTTCACAAGGTACCCAAAAGGAGCTCCAGTTGTCCATAGGACTGCCTGGTTTCCATCTGCCTTTTCCAACTCAGTGCATTACCATGCAACATGCTGATTTTAATGGCATATACTATTGTTTAACAGGTTCAAAGCTTGAATCTCTGTTTCAGCTACAATACTTAGTATTTCTACAAAACATGCTTGAAGCATGCAGGAAACATAAGGGAAAAATACTATCTTTATAAAGTCTGTAAATAACTAGTCCAATACTATACAGCATTTCCATATCAGAAGCAGCAAAGCCACTATTGCACTGGGCTCTTCAGTTAATTCAGTAGAGAGGGAGTCTCCCTTTCCACTCTGCCCTGGGTGAGTGTGCAGGCCGTTGGGATTCAGAAGAGAGGCCCATGGCACCCTGTGCTGCAGTGCTGTCTCTTGCAGGCCATCAGATACAGCAGATCCCCCTCCCACTGGGGTCATCCCATTTTTTCAGCAGTGAATTAACACCTGTTGAACCACAGAGATAAACCGGTGCTCAGCATGCTTAAGACTGAAATTCAGATCCCTTTCCAAAACAGGAACATAAGCTGAAAATGTCCTATTGTGCTTTTAGAGAGCTTCATTTGCCTTCCTGAAGTTTCTGGCCCCATACACTGTATAAGTTAATATGGGGAAATAAGGGAAATAGCAATACACTGAAAAATTTCAATTCCCCACATTAGTTTGCATATTTTTTTCAAGAAAACTAAGGCAGAGGACTGGTGGAAAAGTAGTCTGCAAACACTTAACCAAAGACTGAATCACAGCATGCATAAACCTAAAGCTACTAAGAAGCTACACAGCCTTCTATCACTTCCTAACCTTTATTTTTCACAACTTAAATTTGTAAACCTAATAATATTCTTTTAATAGGATTTTTTGCTGGCTTACAGCAAATTCATCACACAAACTGAAAGAAAAAAATCCACTATATGGTGTGAAATTGCCACTCACCTCTTCCATTTCAGCCAACTAAACGCTCACAGAGGAGTTATATTGTCATCTTCCTTGTGAACCACTGCTAGGAGAGGCCACCTACCAGCAGACTACAAAGATATTTTCTGAGTCTGACTCTTATTTCTACCTTGAGGTACATTGCAGGTAAGCAAGGAAACATGCTGTAACACTCCTTGTACTTTTTAATTTTTGCCTTGTGCAAGGGTTTTCCCACTGTCTTACAAAAGTAGTTACATTTTCTGACTCCAGCTTATTTTATTTTATCTCAGTTTTCCTCCCAACACACTGCTGCCACATCATTTCTCTGCCTGACTTCCTTCCTGGCTGGTTTTCGTCCTCCCATGGTTTCCTGCATATCTTGAGCACAGACACTGAAGGTACTGTATCAATGGATTCAACTATCCCAACTCCTTCTCCATAACTCCAACCTTTTCCAGAATGGATTTTCATTATGTGTCTTCCTCCCTTAGCCTGGTCAGCCACCTGTTCCTCCAGGTAAACATTTTCAAAGAAAATAACCTTTTTATTCCATACTCCATGCTGCACAGCAAAGTAGGGATTGCAACCTGAAAGATGAGCATCTTTCCACTTTCGGTCTGCTTGGCTGACCTGATTCAATCTGCTGGAGCAGGTTCTGCTCAGCATCACTGCTGGACCTTGCCCAAGAAAGGCTGAGTCTTTAATCAATTCAGATGCAAAGCTTGGCAAGTGTTAATGGCAGCTTCTAACAATTTGGTAAAGTTTTCTCATTATTTTCATAAAAAATGCCCACAAACATGTAACTGAAATGTCATTCAATTCACTAGCAAATTTCAAAACCCTGCTAGTTTACTAGAACTACACAAGTATTACAGCTTCTGAAAGAAAAGGTTTTGAGAATATTTTAGCATAGGTAAAATTAATTTTTGCCCTAAGTTCATGGTTAAAATGACTCAGTTGCTCTATCTAATATTTCCGAAGATATGTCAGAATTGTTTTATAAATCAGTTAATTTTTTGAACAGTTATAAGCAACTGAAGACCTGATATGTAGCAGGAAATCTTAAGTAATAATAACAGGACTGTTACAAAAATTGGAGAGACATACATATCTATTCACATATTTACATATATACATAATCCCTGTCATCTTTTGAGTCTCTCCAATTGAGGTTCTGTGAGAACTTCTATCCAAAAAAGTACCTTGACACAAAGAAAAGATGTTGATGCTCTCAAGGGTAAAGTTCTACATGAGATAAAGGTGTACAAGATTGGGCAGAATTTAATTTTTATAGATTTTTTTCCTGTATACATTTTTGTGATAGCTGTTTTACATATGTGAGAATCTTCCAGCATGAGGACTAGATGATATGCTTTTTACTGCTGCATATATTTGTGCAGTATTGCAAAACTGCAATGATCAGGTTGGGAACTTAATCATCATGATTCTCTTTGTCCCATGACTGGGTGAGCTCCATCCTTATAACCTATTTTCAGTTCTATTCAAAACAAGTGACACTTAATCTTTTCAATAGATTATTAAACAGACTTTGGTTACAAGACTGAAATTCACATAAAAGAATATTCTTGTGTGTAAATATATTAATTATGTTGTTACAGTATTTTAGTGCAGTATTACACTATTTTCAAATAGCATTTTACTATTTGAAACACTTAAAATAAGACACACTTGGAAGCTATCAGAGTACTTGCAAGCAAAAATTCAGACTCCACATATCTGAGAGCAAAGGTTTTAAGAAGCAAATTTTCAAGACAGGGAAGTCAAACTTTTTAAGGCAGAGAAGTTTTTTCTAAGAAGGACAACTATATTAGGCAAGTGTTAAATATTCAGTCATGGCAGAGGTGGAGTCAGAAATTTTTTTGTAACAAAACTGATAAAGAATCCACTTAATAGGATGAATGAAATTCCTTTCTTGTTCCACAAAATTTACAAGTTTTCAAGATACAGTGCTGTGTTTGGGGGAAACCAAGCTCTCTCTAAGGGTACTAACAGGAACCTGCAGCAATGTAAAGGTAGAAACATGACTGGAGCATTCACCTGTGATCTAGTAAGTTCCTCCTTTTTTTCTGTATTTGACTAAGGACTTGAGCAGGACTTTCTAGGGGACTTTTGTCCCATATCTCAGCTGAGTGCCCTAACACAGGCATGTAGAGTCCTGGCAGGATTCATCTTAGAATCTTAGATTCATAGAACTGTTTGGGTTTTAAGGGACCTTAAAGATAGACCATCTAGTTCCAAACTCGCTGCATGGGCAGGGAACCTTCCACTATACCTTCTAGCTATCTCCAGGTGTCTCTACACAGGCAATGCACTAGTGGTAGCAGCAGAGTCCTGGATATAAAACACCTCACACTACAGGAAAGGCTAAAGTCAGTCAGGAATTAGGACTCTGAAGTGTCCACCTTTTTCTCTTTGCTCTAAGGACACCTTGTGATGACAAGCTCCAGTGCAGACACCTGTACTGCAGATGGTGACATTTAGTTACAACTTTCAAGCTAAGCTTGTTTTTCTTTCTGGCTAATAAATGTTTAATTATTTATACAACTGGACAAGCCTCAGTACAAAATGATTCATGTAAGGTGACAGACGTGTATGCAATGAACCTAGCTTCACAGTTTTTAAAAAACATTTTAAAAACGTTTTTAAAAACATTTTTGCATCCTTCTTTTGCACCAACCTCAGGATTAGTTTAAACTGATACAAAATTCATAAAATGTATACTTCAATAACATTTTTCAGGCCTCATATCAGTAGCTGTCATTACTAATAATCTTATCAAAGATAATGCACAATATCAATAACATCCATATAATTCCAAATATTTGAAAACTGTCACTTCTATTCAGCTGGAAGAACATGTCTCCAGATTTTATATGGATGTTTACTTCTGCCCACTGAGGCAAACAGCAAAACACAGAAACTGAGCATAAGCAGGATAAACCAAAATCAGCACTTTATACATGGTAGTGATTTTAAAATGATTTCTAGTGCCGGGATTTCTGGATTATGGGAATTGTGATTTTCTCACAGCAGAGAGAAGGCTATTTTTAGCTTACACATACGAATTGAGAGTCGTATACTTTACAGGCAATTTGCAGATAGCATCATTATAGGTACTTACCTAAGCTTGATCGTGTGTTGGATCGCTCTATTATCGCATGCTTACTGGGATTGTTTAATACTGAGCGTTTGGCAAGCGAGATGTCTGCTGTGACTCGTGTAATTGATATACTGCAACAATAAAGACAGTCAAATAGTACAGAATGTTACTTATCTTTCCGGGATGTGGGGAGAATTCTCATTTAACACTAGAAGATGGCCAAGACCATAGGAAAATTAGTTCTTCTCAGCAACACAGTATGCTTCCCAAAATGTGAACAGAGAAAAAACTTTATCTAACTAATACTGCTACAAGATCTATTGATAAGACATCATCCTTCTGTACAGTCCTAAAGGCAGTATGACCACTGCCTGCAAAGCTACATGTGCCTGGGGAGAGGGGAAGCAGGAGAAGGTCAGAGATGAGCAGAAGGTGGGACTTCCCTGGGATCTCTGGGCCTGATAAGGGTCTGACTTTGTACCAGTATGCCCAGTATGAAAAGGCTGGTTTCTCCTTTTCCCAGTTTCTTGAATGGTACTGAATGACAACCTGGCTTATTTTAGCCATTTGTATAAGACATACAGGGATATGTAGAATTAAATGGTAAAGGTAAGGCTTAGCAGGGAAACTAATACAGCAATATAATTTATTTATTTATTTTAATTTTATTGTTCAGTTCATATGTTTTTTAATAGAGTTCAAGAGTTACCTATGATTTTCCAGAAAGATCCAGCAATATGCTGGCCACCTAAAAATGGGAAAACTGGGAGGCTCAGTTTTGTGCTTATGAGGAAAGATGGGCCAAAAAAGAAATGGTTAGTTTCAGTTGTTTGCCTCTTGTTTGCTACATAACCTTCTGTATATTCTTCATCCTAGGAAAACTTGGTTACTTTGGTTTGTTTTGCTTTACAGGGTCAAAATAAAACCCTTAAGTTCCCTTTCAAACTCTCTGGTCTAATGAGGTTCAGAGGTCACATTTTTCCAGTGCTGAGAGTTAAATCAGACTGATGATATTCCCTTGTTCTTCCTTGTAGGATTTTACTTGCAATTGAAAAGGAGGAAATAGATTTGCTAAGAACAGGGAGGGCTCCTCTCTAGCAAACACTGTCAGATCCTGTTTGTTCATCTGAAATGTAATCCAACAGGTCATTTCCCAATGAGCTCAACATGTGTATACACTTATCTAAAAACCTAAAACATGTAACAAAGCCAGAAGTTAATATGGAAAAACAGAACTATTTGGAAAATACTGATTATTAATATAATGTTGGAAATTTAGACATGATTTAACTTAAGCTAAAAGCATAACCAAATATTGTGATTTCTGGAACAGCTCCTCACAGATAATGCCATTTGTCTTAAAATTAAATCAAACTCATATTGGGGTAGTCATCAGTCATCTTTATTTGTTAATGGAGGGACACTAGAAACTGCTACAGCTTTTTGGGTCTTTTGTTTTGATTTTGATTTTTTTCCTGCGCGTCTTCCTTCCTACATGCAATAGAAAATTTTTGCCTTTTTTAAATGCAATTTGGTATATTGAACAAAGCCAGATTTATAGTCTATTTGTCTATCTATGAAAAATGCTATTTTTCATTTTAACGTCTTTCTAAGGTCATTTCAATATCTTCTGAGACACATCTCACCAGGATGACCAAGTCTGCTCTCAAAAAAAAGGGTATGTATGCTCACATCATGAAACAATTGCAATGAGAGCAGGGACAGCAGTGTGGCAGCTGAAAGCAGTAGCATGAATCTAAGAACCTCCTGTACAAATTTGTTCAGGACCTCGAGTACCAATTCAGATTGCTAGTGAAGTCTGGGACAATTCAAATCTGCTATTGTATTCAGAGTATTTGTGGATTCACCCTGCCACAATTAGATCTACAACCGAAAATCAGACATTCTCTAAAACACTTAAAGACATAAAAACATCATAATTTTTTTCTGCTTACAACAACCACTGTTTTGTTAACTTCTAGTCTTGAGGGTATGCATCTAAGGTTTGACAACTCCGAATAATATAAAGAGGGACTTATAAGTGGTTAGGTATCGATATCATTATTCTGACAGAAAATCCAACTGCTTAAACCACAATGGACTGCATTGGTCCATAATTTTTGAGCTACAGAGCATGCTACTGCTTTTAGAGGTAGATTATCATTTGACAACTGTACTACAGCAATGTCTGAGGGCTCAAATACAAATCCGAGCGGACCTTGCCTAGTCTGCTGCCACAGCGCTTGGATCAGAACCCAGCGAGTGCAGCTCGTCTGCTACCAAGGGTGACCATATTTCAGCAAGGTGGGGGACTGCCTCACCCCTGCACCCCACCCCTTCTCAAACTTTCCTCTACAGAGCCCAGAAGAATGGGCAAACCAAGATCCTATCTTGAGGGATCAAATTTGGATTTGACAATCCCATATATTAGATAGCCAGAATCTCATAACACTCTTTCCAAGTTGGATGCCAAGTAAAGAATTAGAGCTGAAGACAAATGGTGGCTCTTGTCATTTTGCTCAGAAACTGGGAAGCACTGATAAGATATCACTTGAAAAATACTTAAAATAACTTTTTAGTTTGTAGATAAATATCTAGCAATTTGGAGTGTGAATGCCACAGTCATCAAGAAAGAGACATCCTTTTTTCCACTCAAATATACGCCCCGAACACTTCCCACTGCAACACAACCTCTGCATGTTCTGCCAAGGAAACTTCCAATCCAAGCTATAGTCCACTTATAAAGGAATTATCCATCATTCCTGATTTTCTACAGTGCCATCATTTCTTAAAATCCTGGTAGTACCTAAACACAACCTAAACTGAAGGATATTTGCATTGCCAAGTACTTACCGCCCTTCGAATCTATGTTTTAAAAAATCAAATAATGCTTTTTGCATCATATCTGTTACCTACAAGTAAATAAACAAAAAATTAATAATCACATAGGAAATTCATAATACTTGATGCTAATAATATTATATAATAAAGCTGACAGTAAATCATATCTGAACAACAGGATCAGAATGCAATTTATTCTTCACCTCAATTCTGACATGAAGAAAAATACAAATGAGCAACTATTTATGAGTAGTAAAAACTGTCTAGACATTTGTCTATGATATAAATTATTAAATACAAATGAGGCACAATATTTTGGCAAATAAAACATTCTCAACAATCAATTACCTCATATCCCTTCAGAGAAGGCCCCACTAAAACTACTGGTCGCATAGAAGGCACTACATCATAGGGAGGGATGTGCTCTGTCTGCAAAACACATAAAGTTTTCAGTGTCACATCACCTAGAGAAAGTTTATACACTGCTTACAATATTAGGAACTACGAATTTCCAGCAATGTCACCAACACAGCAATCTCTTTTAATTAACTTTTCCAAAAACTTGTATCATAAGATAAGGACATAGGAGGTTCAGGGATTTGTTTTGTAAAAGCTTTTTTTGGACTTTAGGTTTTCCTACTGTTTTCACATTTGCTCTGGATAGTTACAAAACTCTTATTCTGGGACATGCATATGTTCCTTTGCATAATTCCTAACTGGTAAATTGAAAAGGTTATTTCTAACAGCTAATGGTTTGAAATGATTGATTTTAGAGATGTGACATCTGTTTCCCCCAAAAATTTTATGTAGGAAAATGATGAAAGAGAAAAATAAAACAAAATGGGATGGGAAAAGCATAACACATCTCTTTTTTAAGGTTCAGATCTGCCCACAGCTTGACAAAACATTGTGACATCACTGCAAATTCCCATGGCAGCACTCATAATCTGACATCCCCATTTGCATCCACAATTCAAATGCAAATGAAACCAAAATAATGACTGATCAAGTTAGTACTTCTAGAAAATTATCATTAACAGAGATAGCAGTTCTTGGGATAGCAGTTCTTCCACTTTGGGAAGCTCCTGTCACTACCCAAGAATGGATTCTGTTAGTACAATATTTATCAAAGTACTTACTGATGTATCATGCACAATTTCTAAAAAGTATTTTAAAATACAAAGATAAAAAGATTGCCTCCTTCCAAAGATTGCAGAAGTCTTATATTGTTATCACAATACAATAGAAACAAATTAAACTGTTGGTTTGGGGTTTTTTCTTTGTTAACAAATGGCTATTTCAATATATATCACCAAGAATAGGTCTTATCAGAAAGAGTTTTTTATTCATAGGGGAAGCTTTGGTTTATCTTTGGGAGAACATGACTGAAATCCAAATCCAGAAATGTGTGGGTGATATGGAAAAAGGAATGCTGGATCTATTTTTCTAATGCTTACATAGTACAAATACATCAGTCAAGATAACAGAATACAGACATTGTTCATTGTTCTAGTACCTAGTGTAACCCAAGGTGTTTCACAATAACATTAAAATAAGTATATACATTCCAAAACACAAACCCACAAAGACAGACATTAATACAGTGACAGCACACAATGCTACACAAGCAGCAGTCTAAAGCAGTCTAAAACATAGAAAATATTTTTGTGAATGTTCTTTAACATAATTTATTTTATTTTTTGTTACCTGTAGTTTTACCAGATAATTAGTAACATAAGAATGAATACCAGTGCCCAAGGCATCATAAGCATGTGAAATGAATTTATTTTACACAGCACAGAAACTGACTCAACGCATTTCAAAGCAAAATCCTGCAATTAAGGTGTGCCAGTATCAAAATGCAATCCTCTACTGTTCTTGCTAACATTATTAATAATCTGATAAGTGTATAAGAGACAGATTCAAAGAAAAATTCTTTGCAGGTGTGCAAGTGCTTATAGCATGAGTGTCCTGATGCAATAGATCTTTGTAATTACGTGGCTAACTCAACTGAAGGCATTCATGCTAGAAGTTAACCAGCTATTTGACACTTAGGGCAGACACAGAAATGACCTTATTTGATGGAATATGAATTATTCTTAAAATCTGTTCTGTCAAAATGGGCAATTTTTTCTCTAATCTTTAATTTTTTCTCCAATATTGAAATAATAAAACTCTCAGCAGAAAATTGAGTAAGAGTTATCTAATGGAAGCATTAAAGTTCTTTAACATTAGAGAATCTAATATGGCACTGAGCTATATAGCTTTCACTGAAGTTCAAATATGAACTCATACTGAAAACTAGAAGTTTTGACAATACAGCTTTTGCTCCATGGTTTGACTATGTAGATTAATATGGAAATGCCCATCCAGTATTTACTCTAAGTGTCAGTATCACAAACCTCACTATATCCAGTAATGATTTTGATATGGAAGAAAAGAGGCACCACAGAGTGGAAGAAAGAGATGTGACTAAACACCATCCAGGTCTAACATGGTTCATCTAGAAGATGTACCTTTGAAAGATGCTTATGCAGACAGCATCTTGTCAATAATACATGTCAACATGTATTATTCTTCCTTATCATTTTTATGTGGTTATAAATATGATTAAGTAAGAAATTACTCAGAAGCAAGAATTGTTGTTGATTTCCACAGTGGGCATAACAGACCCTACTGAAGCCAATAGTGATGACTTTGAAAAGGAGAAGGATTCAATACTATTTAAAAGAGTTCAAGGAGAAAAGAGCAACAGAAACAAAGTTCTATTTACTAAACATAAAAGCATCCGCAGCAGGGACAACAATGTCACTTGTCACCATTTATAAGCACTATTACAGTCTGTTATTACCTACAGATTTAAGTGAATGGTTAAAAACAAATGAATAAGAGCTATTAAGTCTAAAGATTCTAAACGAAAAAAAAGTAGAAATGTGGTATTTCAATGCATAGTTTGGCTGCTACCTAATGTCTTGCCAACTTATTCCAGCAAAGATCCTAGAAATGTATTGCAGCTTGTTGTAACACAATACCAATTGCATAATTCTTGTTATCTGGGTTATCTACGAAGAGACATTGGCTCTTCAGGAAATGACCAGTTCCATTTCCAATAGCTGAGATACTAAAAAGGTCTGACTGATGAGTGACAAGAACATTTGGCTGATAATTTATACATGACAACAGGAAAGACTTGAAGTGAACTGTCAAAACAAGTCTGAGGTTTTCCACTGGTCTTGTGCACCTGCAGATTTTGCACTTAGTGAACTGGAAGCTTAAATACAGACTATAAAAATACAAGAATTTTGACTATTTGTTTTCTAAGTACAAACTGAGTATCTGATAGACTCCAATAATGATTTCAATAGACTGAGAAATAAAAAAAAGATATAATTGAGAAAGATACAGAAAGAATAAGCAGGCAATAGAGAGGTGAATTATATGGATTTTCTAGAAATAATTTTCTCAAACTTTCAGAAGGCCTTTTAAATGTGTCTTATTATTCCACCAAAAAGGATAAGTACTATAGAAGAGTTTCACAGACACACTGAACCCTTGCCTCTTTTCTTGTACTGAATCTGCTAACAGCTCAATACATCTCTTCCTCCTTAATTCTAGAATAGCTGCATTGTTAATCTGGAGTAACAATGCTAATGATGCCAGTGGCAGGATAAACACAGGCAATGTCAATATAAACTTACCGATTTCTGCTTCTGCTTAGCTACAGCAGCATGGAAAAGAAACAAAGAACAACAAAGCATGCATGTTATTGGCTTGTCAAAGGACGCAGACAGTTAACAGGACTAGAAATGTGACGCAGTGCAGGTGAGCAGGTGGACAGATGGGAGCTTGGAAGTCGGTGTTACCTTCTTAAAGAAGGGCATTCTTTTCTCTTTGGAGTGGGGTGATGTTACACTGTTTGCACTGGGTTTGGGGGAGCGATGGTTTGCTGGAATATCATTTTCTTCTGCCTCTAAGCCAGTGGCATCTATGTCTATAGCTATATACAGACAAACAATTCAGAATTATCAGATGACAGGGAAAGTAAAGATAGGTTAAAAAAGGAAATTACGGGTAAAGAGAAATAAAACTGTCCAGAGTAATAAATAAATAAAAACTAAAAATCAACTATGAGAACGAAACACAAGAAAACAAAAGGAAAAATTTAAAGGTGCAGTACATTAGGGTTAGAAGACAGAAGGTGATCTGTAACAGCTATTGTAACATTTAAAAAATAGACCAATGGCCAAGTTTGTTCTTCTTACATCAGTGTAAATCCGAAGTAGTTCACTGGAATAGAGAAGACTTTCACCAATGCAAAAAACAGAACTTGGTCAAAACATTTGGATTGTTTTATAGCAATGAACACTAATTCAAAATGGGCATCACAACTGAAATTTGAAATGTCACTAGCGGGTCTATAGGAAATGAAGAAACAGAAGAAAAATCATTTTTGAAGACAAAATCAACCTGATATTGGTACAATAACATCTACGTTTATCACAGGGTGGACTACAATTGGCATTTTCAAGCCCTTTAATTAAAAGTGCATTGTATTCATAAGACACATTTATTAGTAATAATAAACTCTGATCTATTAATAGTGAAAACTAAAAAGAATGGGTAGCAGAAGAGCAGAAACTTATCCCAGCTTGACTCAGGAGACATGGATCCTGTTGTAAAGAGTGAGGATGTAGACACAGCAAAATGGAAGCGAGGACAATAAACCACTGCTGTTCAACCTCTATCCCAAAAGAATATACGGCAAACAATACTTATAATGTAACTATAAATTATTTACTCTCTTTAGCAAGTAACTAGTGGCAGTTTCAATAGAAATCATCACAGACTGAGTAATAGATACATTTTCAAGATGCAAAGCCATGTTATCTTGAATGCTGAGTCCAACAGATACCTGCCAACTACAGGTAAGACAAAACAAAACAAAAGGTTTCTTGTTTACTATGATCAATCCTTATCTTAAGTAGTGATTTAAATTTGTCTTCAGAAAGCAGGTAGATGCACTAAAGTGAACCAGAAGTATGTTATACAACACCACCCTTGAGTGTGAAGATTTTACCCACCTTTTAACACAGTCTGGTAACACAGACTTATCTTGCCATGCCATTATGTCAAACTGAATCTAACCCTAAATAGATCTGTTAGCAGAATCGTTTGCATTGACTTTATCCAAACCCTTAATTAATCATTGAAAACTATTATGAAACCATCTTAGTGACCTGCTTTCATCTGCTTGATGAGTGGGACATCAACTGATACAGTGGCATGTGGTATTAAATTACGTAACAAATAAAAATTTCTGTCATGCAGCCACTGATTTAAGAGAAAATTGAAGCAATGATTTCTTTTGTTTGCATAAAGTATATTTTCCTATTTGAATTATCCACAGATTCCTGAGTCACTGTGCCTTTGAGCCCTGCCTTCCCAGTAGAGCCAGTGTGTAGATCCACATCGTGTTTCTTTAAACCTGCTCCTAAAAACAGCCACAGAAGCCATGTAACATTTTCTTCTAGCAACACTGTTCCTTCATCCTCTTCATAAGTATAAAAAGAACATATTATCTTTTCTTGAATGCAGTAAATCACTCATAATAAGGCATATTAAAACTCCTTCAGTTTTATGTTTAGCTAAAATTGTCAGTAAAGAAAAATCAGGATTGTTAAGCTTTTCCTGTAAAAAAGAAATGCAGAACTTGATCAGCTAGATATCAGTATCTCCTTTTTTCATTTTTAGTCTTCACACTATGTAGCATCTTCTGTGACAATTCTTTTACTATTAATTATCTTTATTTCACTGTGTTTTTTCCAAAGTCATTTTCACCATTAGGATCACCCAGTTTGGGGGTGTACAAGGACTGTATGAATTGATTTCTATATCAATATAATATTGATTATTTAAATGGATATGAGCCTCCTTTCATTTATTTTTCACTGCGTCTTAGTCTTGTTTGTGGGTTTGATTTGATATGGCTTTTTCTGTGGCACTATTTTATACTGAAAAAATCCATCCTTGACTCAAGGTTAAACAATAAAATTAACTTATTCAGTTAATATTCTTCAACTCAATAAATTAATTATGTGTTTGTAATTGATTATACTTTCAAAAAGAGGAGGTCTCAGAATGATAATTGAATTGTTCTTCAAAATCACAAGTTCTTGTGTTAGTTGCAAACTATGTCTCTTTCACCTTTCTTAGGATGTCTTAAGCAAAAAAATATTGTAGACTCAAAACCTTACAACCACAGAATCAGCTGATGTGCACTATTCATACATATTTCCCAAATCTTCAATGTAACTAAATAATTTTCTCCAGATTTCCTTCTTTCTCCAGAAAACCATGCTTTTGAAAACTACCACCTGAAGAAATGGCTCAATGCAATGAAAATTACAAGATGGCTGGTAGTCAGCTGGTGACATAGGTATGCTATTTGTTCTCTTACCTCCAAATTCTGTGTAATGTTCTGGAGATATATGTACTGATCTTCAAGTGGGTTTTGGATAGGAAATAATATTACAGCATTTCGGATATTCTAACTATAAAATGACAACATAGATCCAAAATAGACAATTTTACTACAAAAATGTAGTTGTTGGAAAAGCTGACCTTAACAGTAAACAAGACAATTTAAAGACGTCGTAAAACACAAGATTAAGGTATGACCTACCCACTTGTGATGGACAAATTTTAAAAAAAAGAGAACTTAAATGAAACTGGAGTTTTGATAAACAAACAGCAATTGTAATAAAGTTGGTTGTTACAAACAAATTCCTGGTTTCACAAGAAAGACAGAAATATTTTTCAATTTGTTTAATCAAATAAAGCTACTAACATAACATAATTGAATTCCTCTGTCTCTGTTCTAATGTCCATGTATATACTTTAAAATCTTCAGCCTAATTTTGAGATACCTGCTCGGTAGGCATATACAGGCAATACATATACATATAAATGAATACGATTGGAAAACACATCTTTGCCGCAGCAGACAAGTCACTCGTAACATTCATTAGTATCTCCTGCTTTCAGGTATTCAAAATGTACATGCAAAGATAAAACATTCAGCAACGCAGCAGCTGAATTCAATAGAATTTTTTTTCTTTTGTGATCTTCTGCTATGCGTTTTTCAAGGAGCTAATGCCAGCTTTCTCCACCAACTCACCACGTATTTGCTTCATACCTCCTGAATCCAACCCAACTGAAGTTAAATCTATCTGCTGATGCTCTAAATGCAAAACAGTATTTGTGAAAAATTTGTTGAAGAAGGTAAAAAATATCCAGTATCCTAGAATTCTGTGAAGAACATTCTGAGAATTGTGAAACTGAAACTTCCTGATGTTTTAGAAGACTGCCTTTCTTGATGCTACTGCAGAAACCTTTCAGGAACTTTTATTTTTATTGCCACTTTTTCTCCTGTACCAGAAGGTATTTATTGTTCAGCAGGAGTGTTCAGACCAGACTAAACCTTTAATTATCCTACTGTAATGTAGTCTCACCAATTTATTTTGGCTTTGCTATAAAACCCCATGGTAAAAGCAAAGAGGGAATTTTGTACCTATCTCTGCCTGAACTTGCTGGCATTGACTCCATTACTCCAAGCCTACCCAAACCAGCCTTACATGGTAATGCAACACCAAGGTTTTACCTATGAAGTACAGGGAATAAGAAAAATAGAACTAAATGTATATCAATTTTAACAGATTAGGTTGATTGGTCTGTAAACCAAAGGGTTCACCACCTACTCACCAGATGATGGAGGCGTCGATTTTCTGGAACTAGGAACGATGTCACCCAAACTGGATGAAGAGTTTCCTCCTGATTTACTGGAGTAAAGTAATAAATTAGTTTGAAGTTCTGCAGCTTTCACAGATTTATTCTAGTTTATTTATTGCCTGCCTTCTAAATGAGGTGTTAGCTGTGAGACAAACAGCAGTTCTGGCAGTGGTATAAAATATACACCTCACAGAAAATGCATGTCCTGAGGACTGAGGAACTACAAACATCAATCTTGCTCCTTGTGCTGCTGTACAATTTATTTTTCTGCTCTTGCTACTTCATGATCTTAATGTAATCCAGTTACTAATATGTGTATTGGTATATAATTATTAATATTATTAGCCATTATTAAGATGAATTCTTAAGCCAGTAAGCATATCTGTTTCCTTTGACTGAAGAGTTTTGATAAATCCCTAATGAAGATGAGACTGTGTTTGTCTACCTTTTCTCAATTTAATTGAAGTACAATTTTTTTTGTTTTCTCAATACAAGATAGCACTTAGAAAAAAAAGTCTCTCAAACAAATTTAAAACAGTCTAGGGTGTCTTTTGTCAAGTTCTGCTTTGTGAAAACCTATCCAAGTTATGAAAATCAAACAATACTTTTAGTCATTTTATTTCAGTTGCCATAACGAGAAAAGCCCTGAAAACAATGTAAGAAAGCCTACTTCACTCTTCAAATAATTCATGTGATAGTACTAGTTTCCACTTTCTCTATCTTAAAATATTAATAAGTACCAAGTTAATGCCTTTGTGGTGTGGGACAATGTAATCTTCAGTGAGAAGTTCTAGAGAATTTGGAAAGGGACCAAATCACTTGGACAGATTTGGGTGTATCAGAAGTGTCCCAAGAGGAATAAGTAATCCAGCATCCTTCTGCTGAGGACAGCACACACATGGGAAAGGCATTTCACAGCTGGTGAATGCAGCTGAGTGCTGTGGAATCATGGTGTCCTCCTAACACAGACATGCTCTTCAAATACTCCTGCACTATTGAGGAAGAGCATTTTTGGAAAGCATTTTTGGCTTCCCAGATGATTCCTAGTCCAATTCCAGGTCTGTCCTGCTCAAATACACTGGAAATATTTATTTCCTATACACCTAAAGGTTAACAAGTGGTATTTGCTTCCACATGTGTTACCGGAAAACTACTTTATTAAGAATTCTACAGTAAAGATGGCATAATTACTATCTTGCAGTTTTGTTCAATACATAGTTACTGACTCTTTTTTCTTATGCAATGATGGTTGAAGTCAGACATAACAAATGACTTGATATGAAACTTCCATCCTAAAATGTAGTATTTTTAAAAGCTGTATTTGTAAGCCATGATTTTGGCAAGACCATTTTTTCCCTTAAGAACTAACTAGCAGGCACTGGCTTTGGCTTATGAATAAATTCACCTTAACGTTTTCTCAAATTTCTAAAACGAGCTTTAAAAGTACTTAGAAATAGCAAGATCATGAAAACAAGTAATAAACACTACATAATTTAGATAAATTATTTTTTTAAGTCAAAAAGCGTGCATGTACATTGTAACTGTACTAACTGCAAGGTATATTCGCAAATACTTTATGAAAAAAATGGACCAAAGATCACCAATCTAAATATCTACTTTTTCTCTCAAATAGTAATTACATTAGGTATCTTATTAATTAATAATTTAACATATAAAATAATATGTTAGATATTCTGTAATAATATATAACTAATTATATATTAATTCCTTCATTGATTCAAAGTGTTTGTAGCTGCCATTTACAATAATTAAGCATATATATGAGCAATATAGAGCATTAATTTTCAAGTTCTTTCACAGACAATGCTACTATTTTTAATGATTTCTTGTTATTACCTGGAGTAGAATTTTCCTTGTTTTGCCTTTTGTTCATGCTGCAGCCTCATGTTTTCTAGTTTGACTGGGCTTGGTATGAATCCTATTTCACAGCCTTCTTTTACCAATCGTCCTATCCACCAGTCATTATTAAATTTCTACAGATTAAAAAAAAAAAAAAAAAAAGAAGTAACATACTAAGAAATTACAAGATCTGGGATAATTTTGTTATTAGTTTTAATTTGCAGCTACGCCATTTTATTTTTAATTCTTCCCTGCAGTTAATCACTCTGCTATGCTATTATGACAATGAAGAATTGTGGTAACATTCAGAAATACATTAAAATAATTATTCCTATTAAATTATTAAAATCCACAGTGCTTAAGCAGAAACCTTCCTTCACAGACTTCATGTTTCTTCCTGGCTTTTATTTCCACCCATTTCAGCATCTTTATTTTTTCTTGCTTCCCAGTATTTTTCCCTCATACAGGAGAGCTGCTTTTGTTCTCCCTTGATGGTTCTCCTTGGAGACACCAGAGACTTCTTCTGATCTACTCTCACCTACTGCTACAATTTTTATGGGTCTGTAATAATCTATTGTTTTTATTCCATTATATTTAGTTCCCTATTCAAATTAAAAAATACTACTTCTCAAACTCCCCCACTCCTCCAAAGTCACTAAAAGCTTCTGAAATATGACCAAATTCTGCTGCTCATATATGCTCTACTGCAGATAGCTCATGTGATCTGCATCTTAAGCTGTGATAGATCCAGAAGGAATGGATATCTTTAGATAACTAAAACCCCCCTTACTATTACACAAATCAACAAGATAGTCCAATTAACTGAATTTCAACTCTATGTAATATCAGATAATGACTACTCTAATTCAATACATTTATTCATACACGCACATGGGGGTTGGGGAGGAGGTTTTTTATTTCGTAGAGCAGAACTATTTGCTTTTTCCATTATTATTTATTCAACATTTTTGGATGAGAATAGGTCACCCTTATGTATGGCCCCACATGCAATACTCTCATGTTATTCCATGGGAATAACTACCACCAAATATGAATTTTAGATAATTTGGATTATTTGTGAAAATGTAGGAGAACACCTGAATGTGAAAAAAGTTTTCTCCTTGAATATGAAGCTATTAATGTAAATATTATAGTGCTTATTTAATTATTTAATAAGTAGCTTTAACAAGTGTACAGTTAGGAATAAAACATGTAAAATGTGTGGGCTCCCACAGAAAGGAATTAATTTCACCATGAATACATCGTTGGTGGATCATTGATATACAACCTAAACTGCAGTATTATCTTTCACTTTGGCACCTATAGAAATCTTGAGAGGCTTGAAACCAACTGTAAGATATTTAGCTAACAAAATAAATAGAGATTAAAATAAGAGCACTTTTAAGCTCATAATATATAAGGAGATCTATAATATTCATCCAATGGGATGCCTTTATGAGTAAGAATACCAGCATTCAATAGGGAGCTAATCTGGAATAGCAGTTTCTCAAAGACGTATTAGACTGAAACATATTATTAAAATTATAACCTTTCATTGCAAAATGCTAACTAAATCATTAGCTTGGTAAAAGGAGGAGACAGATAATTAAAAACCACCATTAAATTACAGTTTGAACAGCTGCTATTTTTTTATGCTGTCCTACAGTACAACAGATTACTACACAACAACGTTAATTTTATTTGAAGTTACAGAAATGCTAAACACGTAGGAATTTTTTCTTCATATAGAAAAAGAGCATGTGGAATTCACTTCTGCAAAGTCTCAAAGCTAAATGCTGTGTCAGTATATGAAAAGGAGTGTAAGACACTTTTATAAGAAGATAATACCACGCATAATACTTTCTAAGTTTAAAAAGCTATAGTGGAAATCTTGGTAGAGAGGTGTCCAGCTCCCAAAGTGCTGGCCAGGGCGAGTGATTCTCTGTAATTCACCTGTGCTTGGAGTGCCAAGGGAAAACACAAAATATGAATTAAATGCAAAGCAAAATTATGACCATGCATCAAAGCCTCAAAATATTCTGAAGTGAGTATGATGCAGCACACATTTCTTCATGCAGGAAGGAATCCTTCATCTTTATGCCCACTGAGTTTTTAATGAATGTAACCTAATAATGAAAATAAATTTCCCCCACGCTTAATCACTGCAATACTTATCACCATTGTCCATGTACATTTTGAACTGAGGTTTTTCTTGCTTGAGCCCTCTCAGCAGCACAAATTGGTGAGCAGTCCTCAGGGACAAGAAGAGGACGGCATTGGTCCAGTATAGCATCATTACACAGGCAAAACTTATTGGACATTCACTTAGGTTTCTTTATTTCTAGTGACAAGTTAGGTATAAAATATAAAAGAAACACTTCATTTTATTGTCAAATATGGGTTTTTACTTTTAATCTGCATAAATAATTGAAGTTTGGACATTTCAGTTCTCCCAGCATGAACTACAGGGAACACCAAAACTACTGAAGGAGCAGTATCTGGTGGGATACAGAGCCCTGAAGAGCGAGCAGGACATGGCCATGGAAGATGGAGCAGGAGGACAGAGCTATGCAGGGAAGGGGCTGCTGCTTGGGGCATCCTTCTGGGGAGGTTCAACCCACCCAGACACAACAGCTGCTGCCAAACACAGAAACAGAGAGTCTAAGTCCAAGTCTGACTCCTTGCAGATCCTTTCCTGCTTTTCCATTCCAGTGGTGCATCTGGACCCAGTCACATGGTCTCTTCCCCAACCCATTTCTGGCCTAGCACTGCTAGGCAGCTGACTTTCCTTGACAGCTTAGAGACAAAATCAGGTGGGTTTTAAGGCTATTAGCACAGAGTTCCTCTTCTATTACACCTGAGGCTGCAAGAACATTTTAATCTATTTGTCCATCTCTCTGTGCTACATGTGACCACAGATACTACAACAACTCAGCTGAGCTAAGCTTCCTTTCAGGGTATTTTTGGAGATTCAGAAAAGTTCAGAGAAATTTTTCATCCTGATACTCTTCCATGTATCTTTACATCTGAGATTAAGTTGTGCTGTGAGGAAAAAAGCATAAACTTTAACAAAAAACGCTAACACTGTGTTTCTGGTTCATATGGAAACAGGGAAAACACTTTATGTGAAGTCTGAGATTACCACCTCATCTGAAGTGCAAATGGAATAGATGGCTATAGAAAATCATCTGATCTAACCAAACTGAGCCACATTTTCCAGTGCTTCAAGACTCACCAGAGAATGATAATGTTTTTCTTTTGCCACGACTCTGGGCCTTCTCATCTCTACTTCTGTCATAGGACAGAACAGAGCAATTCTTTCACACTACCATCAGACAGAAAACATATTTCCTTCACTATATACAGTCTGAAGCAAAAGTATCCCCTTTTTGCATGTTTACTATACATGGAAAATTATGACCATTAGTCATCAGTATGAAGGCACTAAAAGTCCATTTCTTGTGTTTCTGTAGTCTCTGTCCACCCGTATTTCTATCTCTGTATTAGGAATGTTTCTTGCTTCTGCAAAGCACCTGCACTATCAGAATCATTGTGCATCATCTATCATAACTATTAAGGGATTTTTTTGATAGTCTAAAATGGGGCAAAGACATAATTTAATATGCATGGTTAGGTTGCTTTCAACCTTAAGTTAACTTTCTAGTTCTTTTGCTATAAATTTCCATTTACGCATTGACCATTTTGAGACAAACCCCAATGGAATATGAACAGAAGCTGGGAACCTCAAAAAATGAGGGAATTATTCAGAAGGGAGCAGCATGCTGTAGAGGAAGGCCTGCATGGCAAAGTCACCAAGTTATTTCTTTGGGATTCTCTTGCAAAGAGCAAAGAAACAAAATTACACTAAGTGTTTGAAAACGTTAAAATTCAAAATTTTCAAAGCCAAACTACAGGAAAAGAAAGCAAATGCAGCAAAGCACCTTCTATGGAAGTTGCTATCATCTTGAAACATCATACCAGTTCTTCAGCATGTAACTGTTAACAAAATATTGTGTGTGCTGGGTCAGTAACTTCAATGAAAAAAAAGAGACCTGAGGATTTTGGGGTTAATTGAGATGCAATCACACAAACAAAAGAGAAGCAACTCTGGGCTGCTGAGTCACAATGAACCCTCATAGTACTAGATTAGAAAAAAACCCCACAAATATTTTATCTTTGAATAGTCAGACATAGACTTTTAAAGCTATAAATAAGGGATTTTCGCTAGACAAGAAAAGTGCTTGCTTTCTGCACTTCATTAATTTGATTTTAAGGAATTTGTGTCATTGCTTCTACAATTATAGCATTTAAAAGAACATTCAGTTCCTTTTACACTGTTACCTTATTTAAATAACATTTGAAAAGTGCTTTAACAATGTGAAGTGTTATCGACAGTGTGGAATAGTAGCACTGTTACTCAAATATATCCTTAAAGAGAGATTCACTTAGTCCTCTGGTTTTACTTACTTCTTTAACATGAAGAAAATCTTTAGCCTCAAATGAGATGGCCATGCCTGGGACTGGAACATCGTCATCATGAGCTGCGCTGTACCCAACATTTGTCCGAACTGCAAATGCAACAGGTTTTGACTGCAAAAGAAAAGACAAACAGCCTGAAGACTTCTCTTGTGAACACATACATATGTACAAACATATACACAGCAGACGATTATGTAAGTTACCCTTTTAAAAGGGTAACTTTAAAATAATAATTATTATTTAAACTTATTTAAAAGTTTAAATATTATAATAAACTTTTAAATAATAAATATTTCATAACAATTACAGAGAACTCTCATCGCATCCATGCAAAACATAATGAAGAATCATATTTACTAACACCAGTTATTTAATATCAACACATTTCATAGAATACAGAGTTTTAGCAAGAGATAGAGCTCTGAATTAATTTGAGGTAAGTCAAATCAGTAATTAGAAATTACAATCCAGTAATTTAGTTTGCAGTTCTGCTTCAAGTTCTGTGCTTGGGGCTACCATAAGAGGTAGGGTTCCAAGAGCTACAAAGCCTACAGCCCCAGGGACACTGGGGCTGCAAAAGGCATGCCAAGGGGAGCACAGCACTGCACCACATTGTCCCTCCACACCTTTCTTATCTGGGTCCCCATGTGCTGTTCACCTCAGCCCCATGCTAAGGGGGGCCCTCTCAGCCTCAGCCCCCAGGTAGTGTTCAGGGAAAATAAAAATTTGGAGAGAGGTGCCAGCAGCTGTTAGTGACCCCTGTGCAAGTCATATCACTGCAAGCCATTCTTAGAGCACAGCAATGTGCCCCACGATTATCATATCATAACTGAATACCAGCCACAGAGAGATTTGCTCATTCCCATAATCCTTTCTGTAACTTCTACTGCTCGCTGACACCAGTGAGTTTAGAGGATTTTGCCAAGTTTGGTTTTCAACAAGCAGTTCTGGAAGAATCAGTGCCCCCATTGGCCCCAGCCCTGCCTTCCACCTTCTCCTTCCAAGCACCACTGGTGCTGAACACTTTTCTGCACAGATATGGAATAAAAGTTGCCGTCCAGATCAGCCCAGACTGCAGCTACCAAGGGCTTCCTCTTCTCAAAGGTACAACCAGAATACAGGAGAACTTATTCTGCTTTATTCTATGCTAAACACCACTTTGAGCTTGGTCTCCCAATAAAGGATATCACATAGTATCCCTGAGACCCACCACTGTCCTACCCCTGGATAAACTTTTAGCCCATCTCAGAATTCTCCACACTGCACTTATTATCTAGTCTGAAGTGCCTATACATTAAAGCTGGTAAAATATTCTGTAAAATGTTGAACTAAGTCTCAGAGGTGGTCACAAGTGATTGAGGAAGGCATGACATAACTCTTCATCCTAAAATATACTAGAACTTCTACCACACAACAATTTTGGCTTTATTAGTTGGTATCCATCATCACTTCAGCTTGGCTAAAAATACAGTATTTTGCTGAGCTGACAAGAAAAAAAAAAATCTCATTTCCTATGGAAGGAATTTCTTCCCTTTCTTCTCCACATATAGATTATGAAAATGCACCCTCTACTTCAGGACAGCAAACATGAATACCTGAAAACAAAAATAATTCTCTATTTTTCTGTTTTCCAAAAGTCCCTACCTGCTCTATCCACGACTACTCTGGCAACTTGCATGGTGCCAGAGGACAGAGACCTGCCACATTAAAATGATATTATAAAATAATGAGGGAGATATATAAATAATTCTAAAGGTAGGATGATACCACCTAAGTGCAGAAAGGACAGTTGAAAATAAATGGAGAGAAGGGTCCCTCCATTGCTTAATTTAGGTCTAATGTGCTGTAAAAGCCACAGGGTCCCAATAAAGCAGACTTTAAAACTCCTTAAATAAGCCTGTATTTGAATGAACTACCATAAACAGACAATTACATCTAAGTGCACATTCTAGGAAGGCTTTGTAATTTAAAAGGAGAAATAATAACCTCTTCCATAACAGTAGGGTCAAGAGAGTCTCTGTGTCCTGCAGAAGTGAAACCAGCAGTTTCAACAGAATTAAATTTTGCCATGGGACTGCAGAATTGGCTTCATGTTTACGTGGTATTCTGGATCTAAATACACATTTGTACAAAGGGACGATCAGGAAATTACTGGAGAAGGGCTTCAACTCATCTGTTCTTTCTTCTGGAATTAGTGAAAAAAACCTTAAGAATCTTAGGAAAGGTTTGGGTAGAAGGGCTCTAAAGACTGAAAGTATCACCATTACTCATTGGACTCAATGATCATAGAGGATTTTTGCATCCTTAATGATTCTATGATTGTATGATTTAAACAGACACTTATTTAAGCCAGAAAGCCAATGGCAGACTAAAAAATTAAATACAGTTGAGTACATTTACCAGTTGGAATAAGTGTTGAATGTCTCTCTTACTGCTAAGCCACAATTAGAACATTGCAAATAGTCAATTGCTTTTCTAACCAGGTAACCTGTTCTAGGGAAAAAAAATTAAAGTAATACGTGAACTGCAATAATAAAATAAACAAACAGTAATTTTTAAAGTATCTATTTTCTTCCAACAAGGAAAATCATATTGCTGCTGAAACATGCTCTGTATGTTACTCAATGGATACAGGTTATATAAACAACTTTATTATATTTGTACCATGTAAGGGAATAAAAGTTCAAATCACAAATAATATTTTTAAAATACATTTACACAACTGGTAGGCCAACCATATTTACCCATTGACAGAAAAAATATGTAGAAAAATATTTAAAAAAGGGAACGGGTTTAGATCAGTTTAGTAGACGTATTTATTAGCTATCATTAGCTATCATACTATGTTAGAAGATGATAGCCACAGGTTTTATATATATATATATATATATAAGTACAATAAAAAACTAAGAGCTGGCTTAGCTCATTGTGCTGGGCATGTTTCTCATGCCCTGACCTTTTACAGTGTGCTGCAAAAGGAGTTTAGGCACTTAAAACAAATTTCCAAACTCCAGTATAAGAGAAAGGTATGTAAACAGTAAGTCCCTCATGAGTTAACCTTGCTGTAACCAGATAAACTGTTAGAAGTACATCATTATATGATTATGAATTCATGGTTACATTTCTGAAAATGGGCATTTATAAGAGTGATCATCCAAAAATAAATTTTGGTGATTTATCCACATCAATTAAAACCTTGCAGTGTTGATGCAACAAGTATGTCCACTTCCTAGCAGCTCAGATTTGTCTTATTCATCTCCTTTACAATTCTCTCAGTATTACTGTTGCTCATTTACTTTATATAAAAGATATCAAACTATTATAGAACTAGACATGCCACAAAGAAGTGGTCACACAGGCACTGAATTCAGCAATATCATGTATCTTCCTTAAAAATACAAGATAGCATAAATTACTGGGTTTTAATATTCACATAAAACCCGAAAACCTTCCCAAATGTAAAAATTACAGACTAACAGAGGTGCTGCTTTCTATACTATTACTAATTTCAACACTGAAAATACAGATATGAATAAACATTAAATTGTCAAATGTCCTAAACAATACTATCAAATAGTACCTCATCCAATAAACAATTTGGTGTTATTAAGAATGATCATTTTGTAAAGTATAGTAAACTGTCATTGTAGAAATGTATCTCAGAACAAGAATGGAAATATTGAGGAAGAATCTGTGCCAAACGCTGATAGGAGGGATAGTATGCTTGCTTATCCATTCTCACAATTTCTATATTCTCTAGCAAACATAAAAAATTGCTCAACTATTGTCACTTACTCCTAATAGTATCAGTGAATGAAAGACTTTAGGCTGACTACAGACTTTAAAATCTTTGCAGCATTGCAATAAACAGACATCTTCAGCAAGTTAATGTCCTTGACATACTTCTTAGAAGTGATCTAAAATTTTCTGTTAGAAGGCAACATCTGGTTATCCAACAAAAAGAATAAAATGTAAACTACTTCAGAACTATCTTAACATGAAAGAAAAGTGACAGGTAAAACTCCTCAGTCATTTTCTACCATCAAAAAATTAATGTAAGCAGAAAAGCCAAACAGAACATTGAGCTACAGATATTCCCAGAAATGGAATGTCCCATTTTTGATACTTGTCATATTGGTAGAAAGGGAGACTAAATTGTCATGGGATTAGACTACAATACTTCATCTAATTGAATATTTTAAACTAATTAATTTATAGAAGTTAAATGCTAGTCTTTTTACGTAAATAAATAATTCTGAAGCTTTCCCTGAACTGTCAAATTAACTAGTTTTCCTGAACTACATTGTCTTGAACTAAAAAAGTTCTGTTGTTATGGAATTAGGGTCTGATGAAAAAAAAATAATTTTTTTACATATGCATATATATACTTTAAAATATATCTAGAATTTGGTTACATATCCTACAGTTCTAAAATTAGACTGGGTCAAAGCTGTTAAGCACTTTCTGTTCATCCTCTAAATTTCTATGAAAATGGGATGGCAGTTTAGCACTCAGCTAATCCACAGGCTGGACTACAAGGACAGATGCTCCCAGATGTTAAACAGTTTAACATTTCATATCTCTCTAGAGAAACAAAGTAGCCTGGAGAAGTTCATGTATTCAGAATGAACCTTTCCACCTTGTTTTTCTTTTTTTTCTCCTATAAAAATACAACATTCAACACACTGAATAAACCCACAAGGAGAACAACCAGACCATGAACATTGCCATCATCTGTACCATTAGGGTAGCAGGGAACACACTCTGGAACGGGGTTCTTCATGAACAAATTTCAGCTTCCAATTTAAACCCAGAATATAAATCAACAAAATCTTATTCACCAACTGTTAAACCAACTTTGGCTGTACACTTTGACAACAGACATAAATTAAAGTGGATCTAGAGTGACCTTAGTCAATTTTCTCTTTTTCTATCTGGATCTCACTTCTTCCTTTACAAGTTATATTTACTTTATACATCTTCATACCAACCTCATTACTAAGTTCATACTATTTGCAGTATTATACTCTACTACTTATATTCCCTTAGTCTTATGTTATGACTAACTCATATTGATGCATACCCAAGCATTTGCACATTGTATCTGTCTA